GTTTTCATTTTCTTCACCTTCAGTCTGAACTTGCATATGAGCAGTTGATGGTGTGTTCCACAATCTGCCCCTTGCCTTGTTTTGACTGATGATATTGAGCTTTTCCATCATGTCTTTTCACCCATGTATTCAATTTCATTTCTCTGTATTTCATCTGGAGAGTTCCATGTGTATACTTGTCTCTTATGCTGTCTAAAGAAGGTATTTGAAAGGAACAAATCATTGATTTTGCAGAATTCTACCATGCCATCTCCAGCATTAGTTCTATCACCAAGGCCATATTTTCCAACAACTGATCCTTCCTCTTTGCTCCCCACCTTTGAATTACAATCACCATTAATTATCAAATACATCTTGATTGCATGTTTGATCAATTTCAGATAGAAGAAGTTGGTAGAATTCTTCTATTTCATCCACACGGGCTTTAGTGGTTGATGCGTAAATTTAACTAATAGTGGTCTTAATTGGGCTTCCCTGTAGGTGCATGGATATTATCCTATGACAGACAGCGTTATACTTCATAACTGATCTGGATATCTTCTTGTTTACAATGAATGCAACAATATTCCTCTTCAATTTGTCATTCCCTGCATAGTAAACCATGTGGTTGTAAGATTCAAAATGGCCGATACCAGTCCATTTCAGCTCACTAATGCCTAATAGATCAATGTTTATATGTTACATTTCATTTTTGGCAATTTCCAATTTTCCTAGATTCATACTTTGTACATTCCATGTTCTGATTATTAATGGGCGTTTTCAGCTGTTTGTTTTCATTTTGAGTTGTGCCATATTAGCAAATGAAGGTCATGTGCTCTGCAGCATCATTTCTATTACTAAGGGTATATTTTCCAACTGCTTGTTTCTTCTTCTTTGTTCTGAACTTTTGTATTCCAACTGCAGTAATTATCAATACATCTTAATTGCATATTTGCTCAATTTCAGATTGAAGAAGTTGGTAGAATACTTCAATTTCATCCTCATTGGCTTTAGTGGTTGGTGCGTAAGTTTGAGTAATAGTGGTTATTAATTGGTCTTCTCTGTAGGCGCATGCATCCTATCACAGACTCTGTTGTACCTCATGACTGATCTGGATGTGTTCTTTTTTTTTTGCCCTCTGTGACTCTAGCTTTTTTTCTTTAGGGTTTTTATTGTGGAATGAGTGAAAGTTTACAGGGCGGAACATCAGTGTTACATACAGCAAATCATAACACCGTGTTTTATTACAATGATTATAATCCTTTCCATGTACTATCAGTTAAGAGTATTTCTCTTTATTCACTTTACCTTTTTTTTTTTTTTAAACAAAACAGAACGCTCAGGTATATATAATAATTTACACCACCAAAAAGCACATTCTGCAAGTCGGCCTCCTGGTCACCAGCTCTTAGTCCCTCTCTTCCCATAGTCCTCAGCTGCTCTCCCTCTCCACGACCCCATCTTTGCCTCCATCTCTGGTGTTCCTGGTTCTCTGGATAAGGTCCTTTCTTCTGCTTGTGCTCTTTTCCCTTGATGGTCATAGGGTCCTCTGTTTCTGGACTGTAAGATTAACCACTCCCCTGTTTTTGTTACAAAACTTCTACCTTTTACAATTGTTGTAGTCACAATTAGCTATGATAACAATTATTCACTATTGAACCATATGAATCTTATCCCTGTCTCTTTCACCAGACCCATCTAGACCAGATGAAAACTATTCAGTGGTGACTTTTTCTTCCCCCCATATACTCTCAAACTCCCCCTTGAAACCTTGTAGTTCAGTCACTTCTTGCCTTTTTCGCCCCCTCATTTTAGGTAGACATTGCTAACTTGCCCATCCAAATATACTCTGTGTACAAAGGGGATAGCATTGATATTTGATGTCAGGACTCCATCCCTCTCTGTTGGTATTTAGAGTTACTACCACCCTGTGTATAGGTCAGGCTTATCAAATTGTAGCAATATACTCTTCTTTTATCAAAAAAACTTTTTTTTTTTTTTTGGGTTATCTTCCTCTAGTCAAGTTCTGATTATCAAGCTATCGAGACTAGGTCAAATAGGTACTGTCTGCAAGTTTGGGTATTCTTGTGCATGTCCCCTCACTTCATATCAGCTGGATGCTTCACTCTAACTCATCTCTAGTTCTCTGTGGCTTTGTCTTTGTCCTTCGGCTCAGGTGTCCCCAGGTCTTATCACACTTTGGACCAACCATCCCTTCACTTCCTGTTTTCTCTTTTATCTCCAGGGCAACGGGAGTCAATGGACTGTGGTTGAACTCAGCCCATATCTTTATTGCTACCTTTCCCCCTCTTCCACTCACCAGTAGACCAATGTGGTTTCCAGCAAGTTTACATGCCTGTTAATGTGTTCCCTTCAAGTTTTAGTCTTAGAGGGTAGTTTGTTCTGAAGGAACTTGATTGCTTGCCTTGATGACTTCCTAGCGAACAGCTTGCTTATTCTTGTAGTAGCCAGTCATGCTGACATTTTTGTTTTGCATTTTTCCTGATGATCTTTCTTTGAATGTGTATCTTCTGTTGTTCAAGCTTTTCCAAGCTGGTCTGCGTGTCTGTGCTAGAGTGAATGTCCCACCTTATAAGGTTCTTGATGGGACTCAGGATTCCATCTAAGATCTTATATTCTACCAAAGTCTTGCAAGAGGCGTATTTCACTGCACAAGTTCTAGAAACCCTTTCAGGTATTCCAGTCAGTTACAGGCCGAAGATGGGCATACAAGTTTTCTGTAATCATGTTTCCCAACATTCCTTTCTATCCTACTCATGTGTCTATTTTACAACAGTAGGAAAGGGTAATCAATATTCATAAGATAATCAAGCATTTTAGTATTATTTCCCCTCTTCAGGCTATGCCTAGATCCCTGTGTCACAGAGCCCTGGTAATTCAAGGCTGAGCATGCATCACTATTTCCCTCAATCCCACTTAGGCCATACAAATTTGTCTAAGTGTTCCCCTGTCTTTTTTTGTTCTTCCACCTCCTCCCCCTTCTTCTATTGCCCTTCATAACACCTGAATGAAACCCACCACCACAACTCCACTGTTGTAGTTACCTTATATTCCATTAGTTCTACCCTCCATTTAAGACAGTCTATTTTATCCTGTGTTCTACCTGACCTACTCACTATCTGGATCTCTGTTCTTCTGTGTTTAACTTTTTTTACGTTGTAATTGTTTTAATCATAGACTGACCTCCTAGATCCTATGTCCTTATAATTTTATTCTGTTCTTAACTCTTCCGTTTGTCGACTGAGATCAGGGACGTACGTCATTCTCTGTTTGTTGTCTGTTCATGTTGGTTTTCAGTCCACAGAACATCCTTGAGAATGTTTTTCCTAGCTGGGATGGTTTTGGCAAAATCCCTTAGCTTCTGTTTATCCTAGACTTTTTGATTATACCACCATATTTGATTGACAGCTTTGCTGGGTATAGGATTCTTGGTTGGCAGTTTTTTTCCTTTCAGGGTTTTATATATGTCTCCCCATTGTCTTCTTGCCTGCATGGTTACTGTTGAGAGATGCAAGCTTAATTAGATTTTCTTGCCCTTGTATGTTACACTTCCCTTTTATCTAGCTGCTTTCAGGATTCTATCCTTACCTTTGAATTTGGAGAGCTTGATTATTATATGTCTTGGTGATTTTCTTTTAGGGTCTATCCTTCGTGAGGTTCGTTGAGCTTCTTGAATGCTTATTTTGTCTTTTTCTTGTAGAGGTGTTATAGTTTCCTATATATTTTAGAAATAAGTCCCTAGTCTGATGTGTCATTGCAAAAGATTTTTTCCCATTCTGTGCATCCCCCTTTTACTCTTTTGGCGAAGTCTTTTGATGCACTTAACTTTTTAATTTTTAGTGTGTCCCATTCATCTATTTTGCCTACTTTTGTTTGTGTACTTTTCAAAATGTTTGGTAGTCTGTATATGCACTGAATTACCACCCTCACATTTGTCCCTGTGTTTTCATTGATGACCTTCCTAATTTTGGGATTCACATTTAGGTGTTTAATCCATGTGAGTTCGTTTTTGTATAGGGCATGAGGTAGAGGTCTTATTTCATTCTTTTGCTTATCGCTTTCCAGTTCTGGCAGCACCATTTGTTAAAGAGACTATCTCCTCCTCATGCAGTATGCCTAGGCACTTTGTCAAAAATCATTTGTATGTGGATGGGTTAATTTCTGGATTCTCAGTTCTGTTCCATTGATCGATGTATTTGTCATTGTACCAGTACCAGGCTGTTTTGAGCACTGTGGCCATGTAGTAAATTTTGGCATCGGGGAGTGAAAGACTGTCAACCTTGTCAAGCATGTAATGCTTAGCAGGTGTTGGTGTCTCTTGTTGCAGAGGTGGAGTATAATGTGGTATGCTTATAGCTTGGCTATATGGCTATGATTGCTGTCTCTTCTTGGGTAATGTAAGGAGAAAACGCTCCCACCTCCAGGAAAAATGTTTGATCATAAGGACCAAAAGCAGAAGTAATAAAAAAACACAGAGATAAATACCAACACTTTCAAACAGAAATAAAGGTGTGGTCAACTGTCCCATGCTACACAGGCAGTGTGTGTGCAAAGTATAAGCCCCCAGCAGTGTGTGAGGGTGTTCACTTGCTCAGGCCCCTCCACTAGTCACTATAATAGAAGTGTACAGGTAGATATTGGGAAGTTAATGGGAGAAAGATTGTCTAGTATTTTTGTCTCTGAATGTTATTTAGGTGTCTGCTGTATGCACAGCACAATTCTCGAGATGATTGAGTCTTTTTATGTTGCGGTTTTATGGATTGTTTTATAATGGTCCTATACACGGAGCTCTGGCAGCACAGTGGCCACGAATCAGGCTGCGAACTGCAGGGTCAGCAGCTTGAAACCACCAGCTGCACCACAGGAGAAAGGCGAGGTGCCCCACTCCCTCAAAGGCCCACAGCCTCGTAAATCCCGCACAAGGTCTCCTGGAGTTGGAATCAACTCCATGATGCACAGCCACCAAGGGTTTTGCACAAGTTAATTTTAGGGCTGTGTCAATGTGGCCAACGTTATTAGTAGCTGCCAAGATCCTTCTCTCTGTGCTGATTTTTGTGGGAGTGCACCCAGCACTTGATGACATCCTGGAAGAGCAAAGAAGGCACAACACGGAAGGGGAGGGAGAAGTGTGTAGAGTCTACTGTGCCTCTTTATGCAAGTTTCCCTGAGCAGCTTTTAGAGCTGGTTCCCTGAGCTGGAGAACTGGCTGTAGCCCTGTCCTCTAAACTCTACCAGGGCGGGGTGGCCGCAGAGGGAGTCCTGTCTCCAGATTCCTAACTCGCAGTATTTTCCTTAATGTCATGAATTTTTCACTTGCGAGTGCAGAAAACTGACGTCCTGGACCTTATGGTAGATCCGAAACCCTGGAGTTGTTCTATGAGTGCTTCCTATGTGAGTTCCCAGTCCTGCCACCATGGAAACTTCCCTACCTGGCTTTTTTTCTACTGCAGCCCAAACCGAAAGTGCCTCTTTTGTTTTTTAAAGGAAATTAATTCATTCTTACCCAGACAGCTCATGTGAATAAATGTCATGCTGAGGAACGGAAGAGTCTTCATTTAGAGAAATATTTTTATATACAACTCATCTATCCACACTAATGAGGAATTGTAATTTTTAAAAATGTATGTGAATGCTCGAAACTTCTTAATATCACCTGTCAGAATATAGATTAACTATGTTGATAGGGGATTATATTTTAGAAAGAGGATTTAGTCTCGAAACCAGTATCCATTTGCTGTTCATTCCGAGTCTTGGTGTTACTGTGTGTGTCAGAGTAGAATTGTGCTCCATAGAGCTTTCAGTGGATGATTATTTAGGAGTAGATTTCCAAGTTTGTCTTCAGAACTAGTCAAGAAATGAGAGTTTATTTTTAAGAAGCAAATTTAGTGCTTATTTTAGTAACCCTGACACTGTGTCAGCACTTAAAAACGCCAGTTGATGTGTTTATTCTTTTCTTTTCTAGTGATATGCAGCTTTCGAGGATCTGTCCCTCAAGGTTTGGTCCTAGAAATAGGAGAAACAGTTCAGATTCTTGAGAAATGTGAAGGTGAGTATTAACCTATAAAAACACATAATGATAATTTCTGGCAGTAATGCATTTTGTGGTAATTTATTATAAGCATAATTTATCCCATTATGGAATATTTAAAAAAGTTCGTGCTCTATATTTAATAGAAAGGTATGAGCTTTTTTGTTCTAATCTAATAGCAGCAATTAAGTAACTAATTGTTGTCTATCAGGACATTATTTTACATACAATGTCAAGTGATTGTTATTTATCTTTTATATCAAAAAGATAATCTACCAGCCATTTTTTAGCTGCATTTAAATAGAATTTGATTGGGAAACTATGATCTTTATAATCATTTGCATGTTTCTTTCTGATTGGCTGAACATGTTCGATCATAATGGAAAAAGGCAGTAAATATGCTTAAATGAAGATTAGGTTGATTACTGCTTTGTTTGTGTGACATCTACAGAGACATTGAATGGAGAGCATTGATAAAACAGTGAAACTAACAATTTTTGTTTTTGTTTTTTGTTCAAAGCTTTTATTTTGAGAGAGTACATGGGAGAACGTTGGATTTTACACTCATCCTATTGTATTTTGTTTCATTGCAATGATTACAATCCCCTCCATGCACCATTACTTAACAATATTTGTTTCTATTCCCTCTGTTGTTGTTTTTTATGTACACAAAACCACTCAGGAATATATAACCATTTAAACAACCAAAGGTTGTATTCTGCAAGCCAGCCTCCTGACCATCAGCACACAGCCTTTCTCTTTTTATGTGTCTAGGGTCCATAGCTGCTCTATCTCTCCATGTCCTCATCTCTGCCTCCATCTCTGCTGTTGCTGCTTCCCTGGGTAGGATCCCACATTCCACTGCTGTTCTTCTCCCGTATACTCCTAGGGTCCTTTGTTCCTGGATTGTAAGATTAACTATTCCCTCCTTTATGTTAACATAACTTCAGCCTTTACAGTTGTAACAGTTGGCAATCAAACTCGTAACAATTACTCACTATTGAATCAGAAAGAATCCTATCCCCATCTCCAATCACTAGACCCATCTAGAAAAGATGCAAACTCTTCAGTGGGAATTCTACTTTTCTCCACACACTCTGAAACTAAACTCCTTCTCAAAAACTTGTAAGCCAGCCACTTTGTGCCTTTATAGCACAACCCCCCCTCCCATCTCTTTTGGTACCCATCCCTATCAACCCTGTATACTGAATGGATAGACTTGATCCTTGAAGTGAAGACTTCCTCCTCTTGGTTGGTATTTTGAGCTACTTTGTTGTTGTTGTTAAGTGCCATTGAGTCGGTTCCGACCCATAGCGACCCTGTACAGGGTTTCCGAGGGTGTAAATCTTTACTACATCCATGCAATATCCTGTGCGAGTAAAGTTTTACTAAAGGTAATACAGAAACGGCTTCAAGTATACATTGACAGAGAATTTCCAGAGGTTCAAGCAGGCTTCAGAAGAGGACTTGGAAGGAGGGATATTATTGCTGATGTCCAGTGGATCTTGGGTGAAAGCAGAGAATACCAGAAAGATGTTTACCTGTGCTTTATTTACTATGCAAATGCTTTAGATTGTGTGGGTCATGACAAGCTATAGACAACTTTGTGAAGTATGAGTTTTCTGGAACACTTAATTGTGCTCTTGAGGAATCTGTACATGGACCAAGAGGCAGTTATTCCAACAGAACATGGGAACACTGAATGGGTTAAAATTAAGAAAGGTGTCCGACAAGGTTGTATTCTTTCACCAAACTTATTCAACCTGAGTCCTGGTGTGGCTCTGTGGTCTAATGCGTCAGACTGCAAAGTCATTTGAACTGCAAGGACGGTGGTTCAAACTCACCAGATGCTCCTTGAAAACCCTATACAGGGTCGCTATGGGTTGGAATAGACTCGATGGCACTTAACAACAACAACAATACTGAGCAAATAATCCAAGAAGCTGGGTTCTATGAAGAAAAACGTGGCATCAGGATTGGAGGAAGACTCATTAACAACCTGTGATATGCAGGTGATATAACCTTACTTGTTGAAAGTGAAGAGGACTTAAAATATTTTCTGATGAAGATCAAATACCACAGCCTTCGGCATGGATTGCATCTCAATGTAAAGAAAATGAAAATCTTCACTGCTGGATCAATAAACAACATTCTTACCAACAGAGAGAAGATTGAAGTTGTCAGAGACTTCATTCTTCTTGGTCAACTATCAACACTCATAGAAGCAGCAGTCAAGAAATCAAATGACGTACTGCATTAGGCAAATTTGCTGCACAAGACCTTTTTAAAATGTTGAAGAGCAAAGATTTACTAAGCTTGAGGACTAAGGTGCGCCTGACCCAAGTCATTGTATTTTCAGTAATCTCATATGCATGCAAAAGCTGAACAGTGAATAAGGAAGACTGTAGAAGAATTGATGCTTTTGAGTTATGGTGTTGGAGGAGGAGAATATTGAAAGTGCCATAGGCTGCCAAAAGAACTAACAGATCTGTGTTAGAAGAAGTGCAGCCAGAGTGCTCCTTGGAGGCTAAGATGGCCAAACTTGGTCTCTCATGCTTTGGACATATTGTCAGGAGGGACCAGTTGCTGGAGAAGGACGTCATATTTTGTAAGGTGGAGGGTCAGAGGAAAAGAGGAAGACCCCCTGAGAGATGGATTGGCCAAGTGGCAGCATCAATGGCTCAAGCGTGGCAACAGTAGTGAGGTTGACCCAGGACCAGACAGTGTTTCATTCTGTTGTGCGTAGGGTCGCTATGAGTTGGTACTGACTCAATGGCACCTAACAACAACAGCATCCATAAGTATAAGTCAAGTTCATCAAATTGTAGCAATTTACACTTGCTTCCTTAATCAGGTTTCTTTATCTTCTTCTAGTCAAGCTCTGATCATCAAGCCACCGTAGCTAGGTCAAATGGGTAATATCTGCAAGTTTGGGTGTTCTTATGTGTCTCCTCCCACTTCATATAAGCTGCCCTCTGTGGCTAGGTCAGTTTCCAAGTGGCTCAGGAGTTCCCAAGTATCCCTAAACTTTTGACCAACCAGTACTTCTTCTTCTCTCCTTCATCTCAAGATTGTCAGGAGTTTATGGAATGTGGTCAAACTCAGCCCATATCTTCATGACTGCCTTTCTACCACTTCCAGTCAAATGTAGACCAATGTGGTGTCCAGTGAGCTTACATACCTGCTCATGTGTTCCCTTTTAGTTTCAGTCTTGGAGGGGGCTTTATCCTGAAGGAACTTGACTACTTGCCTTGATGGCTCCCTGGCAAGCAGCTTCCTTTTTCTTATAATAGCCAACCACACTGCCTTTTTTTGTTTTTTCTTGCTCATCTTTCTTTCAGGACATGTCGTCTGTTTCTATAGCCACTCCAGGCTGGTCTGCAAACCAACATAAGTTTTAACATAATGAGAGTGTGGATAATTTTTGACTCACCCATATAGTTTGAATAAAATTAGTGTCAGCAACACTCTTGAGTATTTGGTAGAATTCACCAGTAAATTCTTAGGTATCCCAACGTGGCACTGTAGGATATACACTGGACTGCCAGGGTGGTTTGAACCAGAAGTTCATCCTCACCAGCCACTCCTTGGAAACCTTAACAACATTACTATGAGTTGGACCCGACTCAAAGGCACTTACCAACAATAGTTCAAGTTTTCTCCTTTAGACTGTGTTTGTTTAGTCTGTGGGTTTTTACAAATCTTTCCATTTCTTTTAGATTTTCAGATTTGTTGGAGTTCAATTTTTCATAGTATTTTTTGATCATCCTTTTTTATTTCTGTTGATTCTCTTGTGATGTCACCTATATAATTTCTTATTCATATTATTTGTATCTACTTCTGTTCTTTTATTACAGTTACCAATGTTTTGTCAGTTTTAATTAGTCCTTTCAAAGAACCGACTTCTTATCTTGTTGCTCCTTTCTTACTGTTTTTCTGTTTCATATATTTCTGCTCTAACATTTATTATTATTATTATTTTTTTCATCTGATGGCTGTAGACCTACTTTGTTTATCTTTTTGTAATTTTTGGAGATATTTTCAGAAGGTGTTGATTTTGCTGCTTTTTTATTTTCGAATGTGTACATTAGTGTTATAAATTCCTCTCTGAACACTGCTTTTTTGTGCCCCAAGGATTTTGGTAAGTTGTGTTTCCGTTCTTATTCAAGGAATTTTTTTCTGTTTCGTTTTTTATTTGATCTATTATTACTCAGTAGCTATCAAGCAAGGTGTTCTTTAGTTTCCATGTGTTTGATCCCCCCTCCCCCATATCTTCCTCTTTTTGATTTCTAATATTATATAGTATTGTGATCTGAGAAGATGCTTTGTAGGATAGGATTTTGATGTTTTAAAATGTATTGAATTTTGCTTTGTGGCTTAGCATATGATCTGTTTTAGAGAATGTACCATGTGCATTGGAAAAGAATATATATTGTGTTGTTGTTGGGTTGCCCACTTTGTATATGTCTAAGAGGTCAAGTCGGTTGATTGTGTCATGTAGTTTTTCTGGGTCTTGTTGAGTTTCTTTGTAGTCCTGTCTGTCAAAAGTAGTGTATCAAAATCTCCAGCTCTTATTGTAGAGTTGTCGATTTCTTTTTTTCGTTCTTTTAAAGTTTGATTTATATATTTTGAGCACCTTTCACTGAGAGCATAGATTTTTATTGTTATTGTGTCCTCTTGTTCAATTTACCCCTTAATCATCATATAATGTCCTTCTTTGTTTCTTCTGCTAACTTGTGCCTTCAGGTGTATTTGTCTGAGATTCAAACAGCCACTCCTGCTCAATTTTTATTGCCATTAGCTTGATATATTTTTCCCATCCTTTAATTTTTAGTCTATTTCTGTTGTCATGCATCTGATGTATCTCTTGTAGACAGCTTATTGAAAGATCCTATTTTCTTATCCATTGTGCTCTGTTTCAGGACTTACACATTTAATGTATTTATATTCACTATAATTATCACTGAAAACTCTATGCATAGCAGAGAAACATTGTCAGATATAGGATTGGAAGGTGG